TGAGGATAAATTTAAATATGTGTACTTCACAATTTTTCAGGTCGACGTAGTAGGCTCGCCATCAATACAAGGAATCCAGTGAAACTGGGAAAATGTCCTCAGAAAAAAACCTGGCCTGATCACAGACCAGAATATATAAATAAGTTTAATATGTTCAAAATAATTTCAAAAACATACAAAATATACAACACGTGGAACAAATAAAACACATACACACACATGTTTACCATAAAATGAGCTAATATAATGGAATACCTGTCAAATTCGCGATGCCTATATAACTCTTTGGTCTTCTCACACACACGCGATTGCAAAATGGCGTCAGCGCACTGTAAACGCAATGCAACATACGGTCTGACTTAAACACACTAAAACAATAAATAACAACTATTTTGCAGGTACAACTTGATTTGGTACGACTACAATCACTTTTAAACTGTTTAGGAATCATAACGTACTGTATTTTAATCTTTTTGTTCAAGTTTGCTCCTCTCTATTGTTCTGCCAACGGGTCTCGTCTCTGCTCTGTCTCTCTCTCCCGGCAAGCTGGAAGGGGCGGAGCTAACAACCCGCTCCTACGATTGGTTGTTACTTTACCTCAAACTACATTTTTATACATGAATTTATTTTCGTTTATTATATTTATAAAGACTTGTAGATATAATAATAATATGATTATACTGCTCTAAATAATATTATAAATAAATATTTAACTATTTAACTAGGGTTAAATATGTTTCTGCAACTATTTTCGGTAAGAAGACTTTCAGTTTTGCCGTATGAATGAGAGAGCAAATGAACGACAAAAATGGGATTCGATGGACTCGGCCACCCCGTCATGTATGTACTCACTTTCCTGTTGAGGGCTGGACTACTGCATTTCTGTATGTATTTGCTACTATTATCGGTAAAGATGACGTTAAATTTTGCAACAAAATCCTTCAAAACGATGAGAGCGTGCGAGTAAAACACCTTCCACGGAATCACCGGCCTCTTGCAAACGCCAGAGCACTTAAACGACAAGGATGGGATTCAATGGACTCTTCCACCTCGTCATGTATGTACTTACTTTCATGATGGGGGCTGGACTATGGCATATATGTTTGTATTTGCAGCTATTTTCGATAAAGTTGACATAAAACTTTGCAACAGCATCCTTCAAAACGCTAAAAGAGTGAGAGAACTTCTACAGAAACACCATGATTTTTCGAACGCCAGAACATATGAGCGACGAGGATGGGATTCGAACCCACGCGTGCAAAGCACAATGGATTAGCAGTCCATCGCCTTAACCACTCGGCCACCTCGTCATGTATCTTGCCTTTTCTCTGGTGGAGGCCGGACTGTACCACATATTTGTATATGTATGTTTCTGCAACTATTTTCGGTAAGAAGACTTTCAGTTTTGCCGTATGAACGAGAGAACAAATGAACGACAAAAATGGGATTCGATGGACTCGGCTACCCCGTCATGTATGTACTCACTTTCCTGTTGGGGGCTGGACTACGGCATTTCTGTATGTATTTGCTGCTATTTTCGGTAAAGATGACGTTAAATTTTGCAACAACATCCTTCAAAACGATAAGAGCGTGCGAGTAAAACACCTTTCACGGAAGCACCGGCCTCTTTCAAATGGCAGAGCATTTGAACGACAAGGATGAGATTAGATGGACGTGGCTACCTCATCATGTATGTACTCACTTTCATGATGGGGGCTGGACTATGGCATGTATGTATGTATGTATTTGCAGCTATTTTCAATAAAGATGACTGTAGCTCCCTGGTTCAATAAAGGATTGACTCTTTCACTGGTGTTTTCCCATGATTTATTTCAGTGCAGCATTCACTTCATTGACGCCGTTGTCAACATCAAACACCTTATACCATAGGCCAAACACCGTACAGCTTGCACCATACGGCAAACACCGTAAGAGCTTGTATACAAAGAGAAAATGAAACCAAATGTAAGCAAATATGAAAACCATATACAAACAAACAGATATCACTTAAACTCAATATACAAACTCAATACAAACAAACAAACATTTTAAACGAAGTGTCAGTACCTTGTTCTCCAATCAAACCAGAAGCTAAACCTTTAGTCCGTAGCAGACCACACAGCTGGGACGCCGTGGTCATGTGCGATCTTTCCGTGTCTGTTTATATCCGTAATAGTAATTAATTCAAAATAAAAGACTTTCGGTTTTACACTGAAACTTCATAACATAAATACCAAAAATATCAAATATACATATAATAGAGGAGAGAGAGAGAGAGAAAGTATATACACACACACACACTAGGGGTGTAACGATATTAAAACTTAACCGAAATATCGCGATACACCAACCACGATACGTATGGAAACTCTCGTGGCGTACCGCGGTACTCTCACGCCCCCTGCTGCCCATTGTTGAGGTTGACGTCACTTGTCTCTAACTAATTGAACCAATTTAAACACATCTTTAATATCATATTTGATTAAATTGTTTTAGTAATGATGAGGATTTGTTCTAAATATTATATTCTAAAGTTAGTATTTTAGTGCATGTTATGTCATGTGACTTGAGTGAGCATCACACTCGTTACTACTGGACGCAGGATGGCTGCTCCCCATAGTACTGAGATTGCAGATCCCCCAGACACATTTAAGTCATCTGTGTTGAAACATTTTGGTTTTCCAGTGAAGTACAGGAATAGAATTCGTGTAGACAAAGTGCCTGCCTGTCTGTCTCAACTGTTTCACGAAACTTACTTCACGAAACTTACTTGTAAGGAAAAACATTTAAAAAGTGTGGTCATTTCACAATGTGAGGGTGTAAGCAACAGAACTGCCAACAAAAGTGATTTATTGCACAAAAGTAAAACCAGAATAATGCCCAAATATACAAAAAAAGAAAAATATTTACACTAATAAAAATAATATAATAAAGTAACAAATTCAAACAAAAGTATCAAACAAAAATTTGTTAAACTCGAGCAAGGGGGTGATAGTGAAGACAAACAAAAGAAATAAATATAATAAAACAATTCTAACTCACGAATAACCCCTCTTACCTCGCTAAAACTGATGAAAAGAAAAAAAAGGTCTTCAGCGCCGTGCGCCGCATTCTTCCCTATACTGAATAAAATAAACAAAGATGACCTTCAACTCTTACCTGATGTCTTTAACAATACATTTTCTACTTGTTTGCAAAATGGAAATCGTATGACATTTTCCCTATCCACCTTACACTAAGACTGAACTTGAGGAGAAACAGCTATATTGTCGGGAAGGAGCGGATAATATACAAATCAATTGAAATAAAAATGTACAAACCTCACAAAATTTCTTAAAGTGGGCAAAAGTAATGCAAAATAATTTTACCCAAACGAAAGTTAAGCAAAAACAACGAAAATCATAATCATGTCAGAAAAATACACGAAAAACGAGATCAAAGGAAAAAGCGCTCTCTCTCCCGCTCTTCCTGACAAGCTTTTTACATTCCCGCGCTGCGTCGCCAAATGATGATAGATCGGTCTCCTGACCAATCAGCTGTCAAAAAGGCGGACCTACAGAAATGACAGCATCAGCTGTCATGAAGGCGGACCTACATAAATGACCGGCATAGAGGGAGCGGGAGAGAGAGAGAGATCGGGAGGCAAACGACATACAGCCGGCTACAACCCTAACATTAGTTTCAGACACAACGAATACAATGTATTTTACTGGTGAATATGTCATGTAAAAACACTTTACAAACACATTATATGTATATTTTTTCATTAATTTAAACGGAAACCTATCTATCTAAATGAAACCATATAATCAAAAATAAGCGTCTGTGTCTGCACAGAGATCAAGCCTCTCATCGGAGAATGTGGATATTATGGTATTTTTGAAGAAGATCTTTCACTAGTCTACACTGCAGTTATTTATTTAATTTTAGTTTACTTAGTTAAGATGGCTGCACTAAAGAGAATAGTTTTTTTTCTGACTAGTCTATATTGGAGGTATTTATTTAATTCTAGTTGTTTACTCGGGTATCCTGACTGTACTAAAAATGTGATGACAAAGTTAATAAAGAAAAAGTTAAGATGTTCTTGTTATTAAGTGAATTGTCCCTTAGCATTGCTGTTAACATGACATCAACCCTAACCCCACAGCAAACAGAAACCGAACCGTACCGAACCGAACCGTGGCTCCAAAACCGTGAACCGAACCGAACCGTGCCTTTTGTGTATCGTTACACCCATAACACACACACAATATAAACATTGTAGAAAAGATGCAATAACAAAGACACCATGTCAAAGTTATTAACACTCCCACCAAATTATGAGTGCAAATATTAAACCCAAATTACAAGTCACGAATAATTTCCTAGTAACAAACTCTTCACGTGTTTTTTTTTCTTTTTCCCCCTTTTTTATTTTTTATAAATACCTTTTTTTTCTCACCATGATAATAAATACGCACCCATAAATATGTAGAAAATTTAAAACGATTTCATGATCCACTTTCTTTACACAATTTTAAATAACTATTAATTTCCTTCCTTTAGCAATACAAGTTTTCGCACTGGTCTTTCAACTATGGATTGCTTGGTTGTACGTTTTCCCTTTGCATCAAGTTTACAATCACCTAAGAGCACTTTAGCCTTTCTAATAAGCCCGTCACCACTACTAATGGTTTCCTGTATCCTACCTAGCTTCCATTCATTTCTAGGGAAGTTTTCTTCCTTCACCAATACAATGTCATTAATTTGAAGGTTTCTCTTAGGCATATTCCATTTCTGACGAGTCACTATATTTGTAAATTGACGGATCTTTGGGATAATTATGGAATGCTTTACAGGGTCCGGGTTACTCGAAAGAGTAAGTTTTCCTCCCACCCTAAGCGTACCATCAACATCCAAGAAAGTGTCAAAGGACATAACGCACCACATGACACATTCCTCCCACCTTTTACCTTCTCTAGCTCATCCTTATAAAAATGCTCCTGCAGACATTTGAGTACATAGAGTTCTGCCTTTTGCCTCTCTGGCATGGTACTACTTACTTCCACAGAAACTATAGTAGCGGCCAATTTCAACCTAGGGACCGTTATAACTTTGAGAGGTGCAACTTTTGATTTTGCCATCGCTAGTGCACAATGAACATTTCCTTCTTCATTCTTTACTCTGACATAAGAACATTGACCATATCCATCAGTACTAGCAACGTAGAAATGATGCAATTCAATACTAATTGGTTTCCCGAAATTCAATGGTACATATGTGCGTGGTATGCTTAGATTTTGCAGGCTTTGTAAATCTTGTTTCCATTTTACCCATCTTAAACTCAGTCCATCCATCAGAGGGTCATCCCAACCACTGCCATTCTTGCACATCTCTTGCAGGATTCGCTTTCCATTGAAAAGGACAGGTGCAATGAGTCCTAAAGGGTCATAAACAGAAGCGACAGTAGATAATATGCCACGCCGAGAGGCAGGTTGTTCTTTTAGGTGTACTTTAAACTTGAAGCAGACAGATTCCCTATGCCACTGTAATCCAAGTGTTCTCTCTAAAGGCAATTCATCAAAAGCAAGATCCAGACCCCTTACATCACACATCCTTTCCGATTGAGGGATGCCCTTCAATACAAGTTCACTATTAAACAGGAACTTATGTAATCGTAAACTACCTAATGCACAGAGGCAAGGCAAGGCAAGGCAAACTTTATTTATAGAGCACAATTTAACACAACCGTAGTTGATCCAAAGTGCTTTATAATAAAATAAACTAGACAATAAAACTAAAAATAACTGGTATTAAAAATACAATGAAATATATTTAAAAGTAATACTAAAATATAAATAATACAAAAATAACATGCATGCATCAGTCAAAGGCAAGAGAGTAAAAATGTGTCTTTAAGTTAGATTTAAAATCATCCAAAGAAGGAGAGATTCTGATATTCAGAGGGAGACTATTCCAAAGCCTTGGGGCCGCAACACTGAAAGCTCGATCACCCTTTGACTTGCAGCGAGACCGAGGGACAGACAAAAGAAACTGATCATGTGATCTAAAGAATCTGCAAGCTGTATATGGCCTAATAAGCTCGCTGACATAGGCCGGGGCAGAATTGTGCAAAGCTTTATAAGTGAAAAGAAGAATTTTAAAATCAACCCTGTATTTTATAGGTAGCCAGTGCAATGAGGCAAGGACAGGGGAGATATGATCTCTTTTCTTAGTTCCTGTTATTAATCTGGCGGCTGCATTTTGGACCAACTGTAGCCGAGAGAGTGTTGACTGAGGTAGGCCAATATACAAAGAATTGCAGTAGTCTAACCGAGAGGAGATTAAAGCATGGGTTACGATTTCTAAATCTTTTTTAGAAAGAAAGCTTTTAACTTTTGCCACCAATCTAAGCTGGAAGAAACTGCTCTTCACAACTGCATTTACATGTTTGTCAAACTGCAAGAGTGGATCAAAGATAACTCCGAGATTCAGACCTCTGAACCCCAACAACACACTCAAGTCGTCTCAATAATATGTTGTTATCTACGGTATCAAAAGCAGCGCTTAGGTCTAAAAGTATTAAAATCGCAGAAGATCCAGAATCCATGGAGAGTAAAATGTCATTTGTGACCTTTAGTAGTGGAGACTCAGTGCTGTGTTTTGCTCTAAAACCAGATTGGAAGGGGTCTAGAATATTAAAAATGTCCAGATATGAGGTCAATTGTGAAAGCACAATTTTCTCTAAGACCTTTGAGATAAATGAGAGCTTAGATATGGGCCTGTAGTGGTCAGGCACAGCGGGATCAAGATTAGGCCTCTTTAATAGAGGTTGTACAACAGCATGTTTGAAGACATCTGGAAAAACCCCGTTTATTAAGGAGCTGTTTATTAAGGCTAAGAGGGAGGGGCAGATTGTATCTAAAACCTCTTTAAAAAGACGGCAAGGCAGCACATCTGAAGGACAAAAGGTGAGTTTCATCTGAGAAATTGTATTAAGTAGCTGAGAAGAAGATACAGGCTGAAAATTTGTGAAACTGTTTGATGGAGGGACCGAATCAGAATGATCTATGTCGGTGGGAAAGAGGTGTGATTTAATATCTTGTATTTTCTGAGCAAAAAAGTCAGAGAACTTTATGCACGTCTCCAGATTGACAACAGGAACAGAGCACATAGTTGGATTAAGAACTGAATTAATAGTTTTTAAAAGGACTTTTGGCTTACTTGCACTTTTAGCAATCAAATTTGAAAAATATTTAGAGTTAGCCTCACTGACCGAGTTTTGATATGAATTTAGGCAGTCTTTTAAAATCTGGTAGGAAACCTGAAGCCCATCCTTTTTCCACCTGCGCTCAGCCCTTCTGCACTCTTGCCTGAGAGTACGGGTAGATGAATTTAACCAGGGCTGAGGAATTGAACTAACCCTAGACCTCTTTGATTTAAGAGGAGCAACTTCATTTAAAGCAAAATCACAAGCAGAATTAAAGGTTTCAGCAAGTTGTTCAGTGTCTGAACAAGATGGCAAAGAAGAATTAGCATTTGAAAGAAAGTTGGTGTAAGAATTAGAAAATTCAAGAGCAGAATTTTCGTGGAAAACACGAGAGAAAGAGACAGGTTGAGTAAGACATTTCGGCGATTTAAACTTAATCATTTGAATGATTTAACGTGTGTAGAATATGTTAAAAAAGAACTATTACAATATTTAAAACATAATAATAATGCAGAGGTGTCACCTAGTATCGATGGGACGCAGCTAAAGCTGTTATGCGAGGTAAACTTATAATGTGGGGATCAAGAAAAAAAATGGAATTACATAAATAATCTAAATATACAACTTGAAGATTTAGAGACTAAATATGGTAAATATCCAGATATTTTTAATAATATCAAAGAAGTTAAAGTGGAACTCAAAAAAATATTTGAGGGCGTGTCAGAATCCATACTTGCTAATTTAAGGATGGGAAAATCCATTTTGCGCCATGGCGCATGGTCTAAAAGGGTTGAGTTTATTTTGTTAATGAGTTATAGGTGTGTTTTGAGAATAAACCAATCAGCGACTCATCTCCCATTACCTTTAAGAGCCAGTTGCGTCGCGTCATGAGCCCATTTGCATTTGCTATTTACATGACGTAAAGTAAGTTCACTTTCGCTTTTGCTCTCGAGGATAGGGAAACCTTTACGCTCAGACATCAATTAGCCTATAAATAATTAATTTTGTTTGTTAAGCGCAAAAATTTGTTTTAAAACTATTTCTAAATTCAGTTCTAATTTCCAGCAAACGAATAAATTAACATTGATAATCAAGTATGTTCAAAAAACTGAGTTATTTCCAAATACACCTGCTGTGCCCCATACGACCTAAAACCTGACAGGTGGACAAATCTAAGCTTGTTTTTAATCAAACAAATATAAATATGGATATAATAAATAATACTGCTAATAATAATACCATTATACAAAAGCAAATTAAATGAACTGAAAAAGCCTCTCGAGATGAAGAAAGGCTGAAGGCAGTGGTTTTTAAAATTCATGTAGGCTAGAAATTAATATGTTTTGTAATAATTTAATCATTTATATTTATATCCTATATAAATAAATAAATAAAAAAAAAATATATATATATATATATATATATATATATATATATATATATATATCCTTAATATCTTTTTCATATGTAATGATATTTGCGTATTGCTCTGCATCTTGTGTGTAGTGTGTAAGCCAGGCACACTTTGCGCCAAACAATAGACCAACTTTGTTCTGATCTAAAGAACAGACTATTTACAGTTTCTCAAAATAGCAACGCGCCAAAACACGCCTGCTTTTTTAGACCAGAATGCCTATAGGCGCACATACGAGACATCTATATTAGCTAAACAATTATAGGACATTCTTTCAGACCTAATAGATACTTATCAATCAGGTTTTATAAAACAAAGACAAACATATGATAATATATGGCGAGCCCTTCACGTAATAGATTATATAGCTCAAAACAAGATTAGCACTCTTCTAAGTAGCCTAGACGCAGAAAAAGCTTTCGATTCGATGAGTTGGGATTTTTTATATTTAGTTCTGCAACAATTTGGATTTGAGAATGACAGTATACATTTTTTAAATCTTTATATTAAACTCCTACAGCTAGAATTTAAATAACTGTGGATATTTTCAGAACATATTATATTAGAGGATGTCGACAAGAGTGCCCATTAAGTCCTTCCTTATTTGCATTATTTGTTATACCATTAGCACAACTAATCAGAGATTATGCAGAAATAAGGGGAGTGAAAATTAAAGATGTAGAACATAAAATTTGTTTATATGCTGATGATGTGTTTCTGTTTCTTACATACCCAGAATTTAGTTCACCTAAGGTGATGCATTCTCTTGACAAATTTGGATTACATTCAGGATATAGATTAAATTTACTTAAAACACAAACTCTTTAATGCAACTATAACCCAGATGATAAAATACACAAGGATTATGCATATAAATGGAACATACCTTCTATCAGATATCTTGGGAGTTCAAATCTCTGCAGACCTATCAGATATCTATAAAAATAAATGACTTTCCCATTACAGAAACTATAATAAAGGATTTGAACAGATGGCCCTTTCTATCTTTAGATCTATATAATCGAATAGAGATAATAAAGATGAATATATTACCATGCCCACTTTTTCTCTTTAAAGCTTTACCAGTGGAGAAACCAAAAAGCCAACTTGATGAATGGAAATACTAGTGTCTCGCTTCATTTGGAACGGAAAACATCATTAGATGTTTATTGTAAGGCAGCACAGCTTAGACACATAGTTTGTTGGTGCAATGACAAATACTGTGCAAAGTGGAAAGAATTTGAACAATTACTAATCCACTTACCTCTCCAATAATTATTAGGAGATAGAAACTTCTAACATACAGAATTGCATAAACTGAATTCCCTGACAAAGAGCTCTTTAGAAATTTGGTACAAAGAATTAAAGAAACCTAAATGTGAAAAACAAGCTAAGATATTAAGAGGGGTTGAACATGA